GTAAGCTGGAACAAACTCTTGTCGAGTTCATCAGCTCAGGCATTCCAAAAGCAGTCTTGAAAAAAAAGAATTTCAAAATTGACGAGAAATATGAGAATCAAATAAAAGAATCAGTTGGCATGCTCTGCGAAAGGATAATACCTCACCTCATACGGGACTGTACCACAGCACAGGATGTTATCAGCAAACTCTCTGAGGCGTGTGAAGCAGCAACAGATCTTATGGATAAAGCAAAACTGTCAGGTGTGCTTGAAACAGCAATGCTGGTGCTGAAAGTAACCGAGTGCTCTGTAGTTCTCTCTCAAATATTGGATTCTGTACCAACAGAGGAGATAATACAACAGAAATTTGTTCCTGAATTACTGGAGAGCGTCAGTGAGCTTCAGAAAGGAATGACAAAGTATGACCAAGATGGACGACACCATTTACAGGATGTACAACGCCTTAAAGGAGAACTTCTACAGATTATCGCAGAGAATGTGTCTGAGCAATTCATCAGTTCCTGTTCTGAATACATAAATTCTTTAATGACAAGCATATTTAAGTGTCAGTTGAGCAGTGCTGTAGGACAGGCAGTAGGTCAAGTCATGTGTAGACATAAAACTGAACGTTTTTTTGATTAGGGGAAAGGAGAAAACAGCAAGAAATTTGTAAGGGAAGTGGAACAGCTGATGAAGAAAAAAACAAAGCCAATGCAGTATACAGAAGATATGTGCAAAACAAATCAGCTCGAGTGGAAATCTTTTATTAGGTCAAATATAAAAGAATCAAGTATAATCTATGTGAATATAACCATTTTATTCTACAATTATTTCTGATGGTCAAGCATGTATCCGACTGTGTGAACTGTATAGAAAGAGTGTTAGAACTGATCCAGCACTGCAGACTAACTCAGCTTTGTATCTCTGATAATCTGAATAAGTCTGTCTTCTGGCATCAAAACCCCAAGACTTTGAGAGTGATTTTTTCATAGAATAAATATTAAGGTAGCATGTGCCTAAATTATTACATCCTATATCTGAAGACGTCTAAAATTTGGATCCTGTTATCCCTGGGAGACAATATGAAAAATTCATTGTCAGTTGAGCAGTGCTGCAGGACAGGCAGTAGGTCAAGTCATGTGTAGACATAAAACGGAACGTTTTTTTGATTAGGGGAAAGGAGAAAACAGCAAGAAATTTGTAAGGGAAGTGTGGAACAGCTGATGAAGAAAAAAACAAAGCCAATGCAGTATATACAGAAGATATGTGCAAAACAAATCAGCTCGAGTGGAAATCTTTTATTAGGTCAAATATAAAAGAATCAAGTATAATCTATGTGAATATAACCATTTTATTCTACAATTATTTCTGATGGTCAAGCATGTATCCGACTGTGTGAACTGTATAGAAAGAGTGTTAGAACTGATCCAGCACTGCAGACTAACTCAGCTTTGGATCTCTGATAATCTGAATAAGTCTGTCTTCTGGCATCAAAACCCCAAGACTTTGAGAGTGATTTTTTCATAGAATAAATATTAAGGTAGCATGTGCCTAAATTATTACATCCTATATCTGAAGACGTCTAAAATTTGGATCCTGTTATCCCTGGGAGACAATATGAAAAATTCATCCATTGCAGAGATTCAGGTTTGCATTAACTAAATATAACTTGTGCAGTTTGTTGAAAGAGAGCAGTTTTACTATAGTAAAACCATGGTTAACTGTTGTAAGGGTACAGAGCTTTTCACAATACATAGCATTTGAAAACAGGTTTACAAAAAATGCATGTTTCAAGATTACAATAAAAAAATGTCCTTTAATCAGTCAGAGGTGACTGTTGCTAGAACATACTCCCCAGTGAGTCACAAAGTAATGTCCATATGTCAATAGCTCTATGATAATACAAATCATGTGTTTAAAGTCATGTTCTTGTCACAATGTCTGTAACATGTAAATGAACAATATTCAGATGATGCAAAACACACCATTTTGCATCATCTGGCAGACTTTTGCTGGCAAATATATGAGGACATCTCTGTATTGTTAGCGTTTATCGCTGGAATGCTGATAGCTACATTATGAAGCCAGTTCCCGGGTCCTAGTTCCTAAGTCAAGTCTAGTCTCATCTTGTTATTACCTGATTACCCGTTACCCAATCTTCTGCCTGTCTTGGATTTCTTTCTCGTCTTGTCGTTTGGACTCTGTTTGCTCCTGGCATGTTTATTTTAGATTACCCCTTTGTGTTGCCCTCCTGGATTATAGTTGCTGCCGATCGACACACGCCTGTCTCTGGATTACTCTTTTGTCTTGTCTACGAATCTATGATGTACGTGTTTGCTGTTGTTATCATCCTGCCTGTTCGACTATGTGTTATACTATGTCTTGGAATAAAGCTTTGCATGTGGATCCGCACGCCTCTCGTCTCGCTGACTCTATAATAATCAGGAAGCCTATTTACAGAGTTTAGGAGTAAAATGTGAAAAAGCTCTGCCTCCTTTACTAGACTTTGATATCTGGATACTACCAATAGTTTGAGTTTTATGACATTATTTAGTTTATTTTGCAATTATCTGGTTTAATCACAAAATGGTTTTATTCTAGATCCCTCGGTAAACATATTTCTCCTCCTTATTTAGGAAAAACACGGTCTCTATGGAATGGACTATATAAGCCACAGTATCATTTAAGTGGGAAGAACATAGACCGGTCCACTTTCCGATCGGAGGATATATTGGCAAGCGTGTGACTGGTCGAGCAGAGTGATGGCCGCGATGAAGCCTGGTGCTCGGCGGCGGTGACTGGCAGAAAAGGAGTGAACTTAGGGCCAGCAGATTGCGACGGAGGATCCGAAAAATCCCCAGTGCAGGTTTCGTCGTTGTACAGAAACAGTTGAGTCTGTGATATAATGGCCAAAAGAGCAAAACCGAATGCCGGAAAACTGTCGTAGGACAGAGGGAGGTAGGCTGCATATACGGATTGTGCTAGTTAACTTAAATGTTTGTCTGGATGCAAATGATTATTTCAGAAGGTGAGAAAGGATACAACTTTTTGTTTGCATGCCAAGAGGGTAAACCAAAAAGAAAAAACAGTCAGGAGAGAATATTTGACATACCAACAACTATGCACCTAACAACACGTGGGACTGTAAATGTCAGAATTTTAGATTGTAAGCATGGAATTTAAAACACCACATAAAACATTTGTCTTAATATTGTGAAGTGTATACCACTCAATTGAAGCTGCAAAATACAATGTTAAGAGTGAAAACACATTTGAGTAAAGTGAAGATGTAATGTTGCAGAGAATGTGACATTGATTCAATATAAATGAAAACTGTCTGCAGATTCTATGTAGTTGTTGTTTGTTGGCTTGAAGAACTGAAAGCGCAGCGTTGTAGACAATACAAATAAACTTCTTTTTTTTGGGGGGGGTTTTTTTAATCCGTAATATTTCAGCACCAACAAACATGCATATATATATATATATAAATTTAAAAAAATGAGAGCAGCAAATAAAGCATTTTTAAACCTTAAATATACACTTTTTGCAATTACACTTTTGACAGTTTCAAAAAAAAAAAGTTGGGAGCAATAAAGCTTCTATTTATGTTTGTTTTTGTTGCAGGTGGTGCGGGAGGTATTTGATCTGCTTGTCCAATGGTTGCAGGGAAATCTTAAAAATTCCCAATTATCAATGGTTTGGAAAAAGTGCAGAGAATTGTGGAGGTGTTGATGGTGTGACTACGATTTTTGGAGTCCTGATGTCTACAGACTGTTGGATGTCGCAGGGTTAGAGATCAGTGATGAAATTGTTGTGGATTGTGATGTTCATTGAGGGAAGTGTTAACAGAGAATCAATGATCAGGGCCCGTATGTATAAAACTTCTCAGAAATGCTCTTAAGAATAATCTTAAGCTTTGACTTAAGTGTCAAAAAATTCTTAGTAAAAAGTAGGACTTGCCTAAGAGTAGGAGACTGTTATAAAGACGCTAAAAGCAACTTTCAGTAAAGTCTAAGACTGATTCTTAAGTGTTGACTGAGGTGACACTTAAGTGTTGTGAACTAAGGACTACAATGATGTCAACACAAAATGGCCGACCTGTCACAGCAGCACAACACCAATCATTTAATGTAACTATAATTAAATCATTTAATTAAGACACTGAAATATTTTAATATTTAAATGTATTTTTAAAAAATGCTTTGCATTTTGCTAAATTATCACACATTATTACTAAAGCTTTGTTTAATGGTATGTCTCCTCATTTACAGTTAGAGCAATGATAGATCTTTCACCTATAGAGAACATTTGGTGCATCACTAAACGAAAAATGCGTCAAAGACGACCACGAACTCTTCAGCAGCTGGAAACCTTTATCAGGCAAGAATGGGACCAAATTCCAACACCAAAACTCCAGAAACTCATAACCTCGATGCCCAGACGTCTTCAAACTGTTTTGAGACCTGTAGCAGGCATCAAATTTGAAATGAACTCATTTTGTGCATAAAATTGTAAAATTTCTCAGTTTAAACATTTGTT